ATTCTGCAGAGTGGGACAATAGAGATAGAATGATGAAAAAGTAAAATTCACCAACATCCCTTCATGGTTTCCTATTGTTGTGCTGTTCTACTATCAGCACAGTGACCAGGACCAGGGAGGATGACTGTTTTTATCTTTATTTAACCTGCAGTAACTGATCCAGACACATTCTGCTCCGTTTCCATCAAATTAACTCTCTTCCTCGTGTTGATTGTTTCTGATAGATGAAGAGGTGATGAAGTTGCATCATAACTGCTGTAGTAGTCAAGGGTTATGGCAGGATAACCTCACATCTAGCATCTCAGTCTTTTACAAGCCCCCCCCCCTTCAGATGTTTCCATGGTTGCAATAATTTTCCATCATAACTTCAGCTCCAATAATCTCTTTCTTTGTGTTTTTGTCTTTCCAGTCAGAACCTACAAGGATTCAGATCCAAGTTCCTCCTAAGCAGGAGGTGAAAACACTGCAGCAGAAGACGGTGACCATCAGTCACCCTCAGGTGAAGCTGTCAGCCGGTCTGAGCAACGCGCAGATCATCCACATCCAGCCCATGGTGGGTCAGCAGGGTCAGCAGATCCTGCTGCAGCAGAACCCAGGGGAGCCCGCCATACAGCTGCTGCTGCAGAACGCCACCCCTGTGGTCGGGTCTCTGCTGCCCCTGGTCCACAAGGTGACAGGCCCGGCTACCGTAGCAACCAGCTCCTCCAGTCCGGGTCAAAAGCTTTCCACCATCAGGGTGACCACGGCGTCCACTCTCAAAGATCTGCCGGCCTCCAGCTGTAAGGCGCCTCCTTCTGCTTCTGCTAAAACTGTTAGCGTTCCTCTGGTTAAGGCGCCACACAACGGCACGGAACCAGCTGCTGGGAAGGGTCCGGTTAAAGCGGCTCCGGCGGCTCCTCAGCCCACCACCCTGACTGTGGCCCCCAAAGCGGCCCCGGTAACCCTAGCCTCTGGTGTCAAGGAGAGAGACAGAGAGAAAGAGAAGAAGAAGGCCAAGAAAAAAGAGAAGAAGGCGTTGAAGGTCCAAACCCGGTCCGGTCGGGTTTCCAGGCCGCCCAAGTACAAAGCTAAGGACTACAAGTTCATAAAGACGGAGGACCTGGCTGAGAGCCACCAATCGGACTCGGACGATTATTCTGACATGAGTGTGGAGGAGGAGGAGAATGGCAAACGGGCTGGGTCCGGTTCCGACAGCCCTTCGTCTGCCAGCTACAGCCTGAAGTCCCGGCGCCATCGGTGTCAGATCTGCGATAAGGCCTACATTGGTCCTGGAGGCCTGAACCGACACTACAAGCTGAACCCGACCCACGGAGAACCAGATTTTTCCAGTGTGCCGGAACCAGAGCAGAGCCGAGGGGATCCGAAGGCAGAGGAGGCCATGAAAGAGGAGGAGGACGACGGCGAGGAGGAGGAAGAGGAGGAGGAGGAGGAGGAGGACAAACCTGCTGCCGTGGCAACAAACAATGTGAGACTCTGCCACCTATCAGAACTGAATGATTGCTCTTGTTCAGGTTGTTTTCAGAACATCGTGGGCCAGGTTCTGTTTACATGAGAAGAAACCGGTCAAACCCTGTGGTTCTGAAAGTTCTGGGCTCAGTAGAGGGTTAGGACACGGATGTTTGCTAGTTTAGAACCACGTAGTAATAGGCTCTATGCACAGCTCCACTACTTCCTGAATTTAATGCGGCTCCTTTGTTTCCTGTCTTTCATGATTGGATGCACTGATTAATCCAGGTGTGTATGACCTAAGTAACTGGCCAGACACACCTGGATTAATCAGTTCGTCCAGTAATGAAAGACAGGAAACAAAGGAGCTGCATTAAATTCAGGAAGTAGTGGAGCTGTGCATAGAGCCCATTTCCCCCAATAAAACAGTT